TTGCTATTGACCTGCCTATTTGGAATTATATTTGTTTTGGTGAGTTTCGTTTTACTTAATTAAGTGTTTGTCTAAGTTGTTTTCGATCAGAAAGTGTCTAGTCACCTACTTTTAAAGTCCTTGTGTTCTGACCAGTCATACAGAAACGATAGTTTTTGTGGAACGAAATGAAACGTTGCTTACTAAACATGAGCGTTTCACTTCGAATACCTTCGATAGATTTTGTAGAACAAGTTTTCAACAAATATTTTGCCCATTTATGTTCAGTATACTAAACAATTTTATGGTTCACGTCTGTAGTTACTTCGTGTGTAAATCTTTCTCACGTTTATCAGTGTTTTATACAACTACTAAATGTTTGTTCTTGCCATGACATGTTTACATACTCTGATACTGAACATAAAAATGTGTTTCTTTTATGAAACATTCGTCACATATTGCTTTTGAGTCTTCATGCCATTTTAAAATACTTTTTGTACTTATTTAGTTTTGACTATACTAGAAATATTTCTTCCCCAGTGCAACAAAGTATGAACTTTACAAGTTTACGAGGTATCTCTGGTATTCGGAGCTCAGCTTGTATATCCTGGTCGTTCTTCAGAACTTTTCTACTAACTTCAATAGTGTCTTGTTTAACTCGTCGAGTACCGGTTTTGCAGACACAATTATAGAACAATAGGTTGCGGTCACCGGTGACCGCTTGGTATTTGACAGTTTAATAGGCACCTTAAGTATACCTACATATGCATAAATTTTAATTTAAAGTCTTGTATTGTTCACTACGCCAAGCGTAACTAAATAGCTCATTTTCTTTGGCATTGTTAGTTTCTGGTTTGTGAATAGATTGCAGTGTTTTAACAAAACACTTCTAACTTTAATGTCGTTGATTGCTTCAGATCTATTGTTTTCGTATACTTTAAATCTAACTTTGTAAAACTAAGAAATAGTTAGTTCATCGTAAAGTCTTTGTATTTTATTTTTATTACGAAGTTATCAGTTCTTTTGAAGTTAAAGTTCAACTTAATAACAAGTTATCTTGTAAGTTTTTTCACGTCAAACATTACACCACACCACTTACCAATACCTAAACAGAATTCTATAATAATACGATTGTTCTACTCTTGTTTATTTTCTTAAGTTGATTACTTAACTTTTTAAGATTAAGTAGATACTAGTAGGTTGATACCTATACAGTACCCAATGGTACTGGCCACGCTTTCAACTGCCTAGGTTACATGATTAAGTTTACATTACTGACGAGAATAATGACATAATTTACGAAAACTAGGTAAACATTTCAACAACAACAACATTTGGGAAAACCATGAATCATGAACGCAATGTATTGTAGTTTTATTAATGTTTACAATTATCTCGTCATTACTAGTCCGAATAGTCATTCGGCCGGCGCTTCACGCACTGCACCGTGCTCCGTGTCGTATAGCGCGGGATGTCAGTTTTACTATTGTAGAATCTGCCATCTCGCGCATCAGTATTCTTAGGCTTGAAAAATTAATTAAGTTACTTATTGCATACAATGGTAAAATTAAAATCTCATCATAATCAACAGCCTATAAATGCTCACTGCTGGGAAAAGCCTCTTCTCACACGGAGAATATTTAAGCATTAATCACCACGCTTACTCAATGCGGGTTGGCGGCAAATGACAAACTTATTATTAGAAATAATAAGCCCAGGTTTCCTCACAATGTTTTCCTTCGCCGTTTGTCAGTGATGTCTAGATTATCCTAGATAAAAAAATATAAAAAAATATCTTTTATGTTATTTCAGACTATATCTATCTCTGTACTGTAGCACGTCGAAATAAGTTCAGTAGTTTTTCGTGAACGAGTAACAAACATACATGCTCACAAACTTTGTTTTATATATATATATATTTTTTTTTTTTTTTAAAAACGTTGCCCCACACTAGCATATTCTCCTGTGTCGTGGGTGCGTTTACAAACATACAAGTTCACATACACATGACACCCCGACCCGAAACAACAATTTGTGGATCGCACAAAGTGTTGTTCCGTGCGGGAATCGAACCCGCGACACGTTGCACGGCAGCCGGTTGCCCAGCCACCGCACCAACCGTGCAGTCAAATATATTAGATGGGGCTGACGTTTGACCACTATCTCGCCTGGTGGTAAGCGGTGATGTGACCTACGATGAAGCACGTCGACCCATAAGCAACCTATTCACTCGGGCCTTAAAGACACCCAGGTTAAACCCTTCAGGAAATACAGACTCTGGCAAAGAATTCCACTCCTTAGCAGTACGGACAAGGAAGCTTGATACGAAGCATTGTCTTGTGGTACGATGATGGAAAGTACTAGGGGGGATCAAGTTGTGGAATGCCCCGTACACTCTCCGAAATGTATCCGGTAGAAGATTGAAAGGACGCATTCATGACTTTAGTAGGATCTTGATTCGTGTGTCGTTTACTCATTTAGGTATTTGTTGTTTTTAAGGCTGAAGTTGTGAATTAATTTTCATGTTGACCTGTATCAAGGCAAGCTGGGTTGTGCTGCAGCTATATTGTATGTTGATACCTACTTGATATTAATGTCATGGCTATTTTATGTCGCATGTAGGTACGATTAAGGATACATCTAGAATATTATTATGCAACTGTCTGTGGTTTGTATTTATTTTTAACCAACCTGTATGCACTAAAGTGTGTAAGTAGGTATAGGTAATAGATAGTCACAGTAAGTTTCAATTTATATACATTATTAAATTAATTGGTAAATATTAAATACCTATGCAATTGCAATATGCAATACTTAAAGCATATGCAATTAAAAGTTATTTAAATAAATTTTTATAATATCACGCCTTTTATCCTGAAGGGGTAGACAGTGGTGTACATTGTGCCACTGTACAATGTTACACTCACTTTTCACTATTTATGTTATGAGTTCCAGGTAATAGGGGGTGAGCCTATTGCCATATACCGGGCACAATTCCAGACTCCGTGCTACTACTGCTAATTTATAAGTGTCTATTATCTGTGGACCATGGAAAAAAAAAAACAATCAGCCGAACATAGTACCTCCTCCTTTTTTTGAAGTCGGTAATAAACCACTTTTAAAAGTGCGTTCGTAACACACCTCGACATTAACTAGAAAAGTAATTAGGTTAAATAGGTTTCTGGATAAAATAATGTTAGACTCTATCTCTATGGGTTTTTTAATGTCGTTATAAAGTTTATTTAATTAGGAAATGGTGGAAAAGAAGTGACAGATACCACTGTTTTATCGAGGACATAACCAAAATAGTAATGTCATTTGGGAAAATTGGTTTTGTAGAATATTCTACATAGGTATTTCATTTCGGCAATTGGGTACATTTTGCCAAATTCAATTAATTTAAAACAAAACTAGTCAAATTCAATACTTTTTTAGAACTGTATTAATTTTGTATGAGGTTGTGTATTGTGACGTCACTTTTTTTTAACGTCAAACAGCATACTTGTTAAAATTTTGCTGGAAAAATATCAAAATTAAGCTAGTCATAAAATCAAATATTGACAGTGTGATTATTTTTTAGTATTTTATTGTATTAAACAGTCCAAATAATTTATTTTTTATTAAGGAAATTGCCCAATTTAAACAAGTATAACAATTGTCTTATGATATTAATTTGTGGTTTTATTCATTTTCCGAAAGCATCACGGTGCCGAAGAAATATTATTATGACCTAACCCTGTTATATTATATTAGTGCCTATATTACCTACGTATTTGTCTATATAAACAACAAAATTATAATAAAGTACCAATGATAGATAATCATTATAATGTATGCCTATGTTGGCTGAAAAATCTATGCGTATCGTCTCGGTATTCCCAATCCTAAGTTACGCGGTTATCATGCCATCAAGATACCCTGTATTATTTTATTTCAAATGATTATTTATTTATTTATTCTACCGTATCTCAAACGTAGATCAAATTCTTTATCTGAACTGATTGATAAAGTCAATATTTCGGGGACACAACTGTTCGATAGTTTGATACGAATTGACGTGTCTTAAAATGGGATCATCCGGTAAGCCTATGTCTCGTCTTGTCTTTTATTACGTGTCTCACATCATCAGAGCAATATTCGAATTTTTATGTAAATAAATATTTACAACTAGTAAATATTTGAAATTAAATACTATTTGTTAAACAAAGCGATGTGTTCCATCTTTATTTGTCTACTAGCCTTTATATTCGTGTTTAATTTTTTTAAGTGTAAGGAAATACGTATTTTTCTATTAGTTTCTAACAGGTTATCTTTTATTGCTATGCAAATGTATAGTTGCAATGTATATAAATACGTAATTGACATGAATGCTTCATGTAAATTATTGTGGATTTTTTATTGAGTGAAGTGAATCACGTTATACGCATTTACAATAATAACCAGAAGTAAACAAGCGAATCGTTTGGATACGTTTTCGAGATGCATTCTATGTCTAACTAAGCCTTACGTATTAAATGTAATACATGCAGGTGATTCGTCTCGCTCCGTGATATCAGCGTGGATAATCATATACCTAAGATTATCATGATTGTACCTATTTTTCTTTAAACGTCCATGGTTGCTCCGAACAGAGATATTTGTTTTATAGTACTTGTAAACAACTACTAACAATGCCTTCGTGTGGTCACTCGAATTGTAAGGTATTATAATAGTGTTCAACATAATCTGTTTGAAATTAAAAACACTCAAGTGTTGTTAGACCAGCAGCAGGTTGGTGTAATGACTGCAAAAACTGTGATGGAACTCTTTCATCTCCATAATAAGCCTTTATATAATACATGCCACTTGAAGATTTACTAGATGTCGAATTGTGGGATGCAATTTTATCTTTTTATCAAAATGTTACACTTCACATGTTACTATGTCTTACATAACTCATTGATCGGATAAGATTATAATATTTACAATGAAACTAAACATAGATACATTAGATACTCATGGATTGTTTTCCATGGTTTCAGATCCTTCGCAGAAAATGGCGGGCGGAGTGACAGGCGTGCTTCTGTACGCGGTGAGCGCCGCTGTACTGGGCATGCTGCAGTTTGGCTTCAACACGGGTGTCATCAATGCTCCACGTCCCTTCATCGAAAACTTCATCAGCACACAGTACGATGTAAACCCCGGCACCATATTCAGCGTCATCGTCAGTATCTTCGCTGTCGGTGGTATGATCGGATGTCCTTTCGCCAGCTGGATGCTTGAAAAATACGGCCGTAAAAACGCACTTGTCGTCAATTCTATGATTGGAGTTCTTGGTGCTATCTTTATGGGTTTCAGTAAACTTGCAAACTCAGTAGAAATGATCATTATTGGTAGATTTATCATTGGAGTTAACTGCGGCTTTGCAACAACAGCTTCCCCCACTTATGTATCAGAAGTAGCACCGGTGAGGCTGAGGGGAGCGTTTGGTACAGTAAATCAGCTGGCTGTCGCATTCGGATTGGTTGGAGCTCAGATCTTGGGTATCGATATGATAATGGGAAGTGATGAAGGATGGCCGTGGCTGCTTGGACTTGCAATTTTCCCATCAGCTATTCAGTTCGTGATGATTATATTTGCACCTGAAAGTCCTCGTTACTTGCTGCTGGTCGCTCGGGATGAAGAGACCGCTAGGGCTGAGCTAGCTAAAATCCGAGGTACGAATGAAATCGACGATGAGATCAATGATATGCATGTAGAAGATCGTGCAGCTAGACAGGAGGAGAAGTTCTCTATTCTAGACTTGTTTAAGATTAAAGCTCTGCGTCAGCCACTTATTATTGGAATCGTGATGCACTTGTCTCAACAACTGGGAGGCATTAATGCGGTTCTGTATTACTCCACCACGATATTCGTGAATGCAGGCCTAACACAGGAGAATGCGCGATTGTCTTCAATAGGTGTTGGCAGTATGTTATTTATTATGGCTCTCGTGTCGATTCCCCTTATGGACCGTCTGGGAAGACGAACACTACAGCTGGTTGGACTTGCAGGTATGGCACTGTTTTCTGTGCTCATGACTGTTGCTTTCTTCACTTATAACGATAACACTACGATGAGTATATTTGCTGTTATATTTACGTTCCTGTACGTGGCGTTCTTCGGAGTGGGTCCTAGTTCGATTCCGTGGATGTTGCTGTCAGAGTTGTTCGGGCAGGGCGCCCGCAGTGCGGCGGTTAGTGTCGGCGCCCTCGTCAACTGGTTCGCTAACTTCATCGTAGGGTTAACTTTCATTCCGATGTCTGACGCGTTCGGCAACTACGTGTTTTTGCCGTACACTGTCCTCCTCGTTCTATTCTTTATATTCACGTACCTGCAGTTACCAGAGACGAAAAATAGGACGATCGAAGAAGTGACAGCTCTCTTTAAGAAGTAATAGAGTCTAGACTTAAGCGACATTCCTTAGAAGTAAGCATAATATTGCGACCTGCAATAACTTTACACAGCGTTTATGTGATAGAACTGCATGAAATTCGATTTACTTGAATAATATAGATGCGCGAGTGTTATCTATGTCCTTTCTACCAGATTTATATAAAAATGGAAGACTGAACACCAAACTTATATTAAATGGAGTCGTTTAAAGATTCTTCATACTTGATATACCTTTGAATGAAGTACTTATTTAACGATTAATCTAACTAAACTACAAGTATTTTAGAAGACGATAAATGTATTAATAATTCCATTTATAAATAAAAAAATATGGATCCCTATTTAGAAATCATGATATTTATATCTATTGTATTAAAATGTAGTAGATAAGTAAAAAGGTTCATAAATATTCACTTTGTGGCGATTGTACGCAAATTGTAATTTGTGTTGATGTTACGAACAACATTTTATTGTTAATTTATTGATGAATGTGTTATTCTTTGTTTGTATGTTATTGTTGTATTTCCAAAGGTTCGAGGACCAAGTTTTTTGTGTATATACTTTATATTGTTATTTAGATATTATTAAGTTTACATGGTGCTGGTAACACCGAATTTGGACAACGCACTTTATGATTTTTGTATATTTTTTGGTGCTTTCTTATTTTCTTTTTTCGATTATCTATTCTAGTGCCTTAACTTTTGTTTGACAGTGACATTAGAGGGTTTTAGACCGGATTCACTTAAATTAATAGATTATGTCCGGCATAGCGGCGCTAGACTCTCATGAATTTTCTAATAGAAAGTTGTATACAATTGTATCTCGTAAATATTTTACGATAAAAATCCTGCGCCGTTGTCTCTATTCAATTATATGTAAGCTACTACAGTTAAACTATGTACCTAATTCGTCACGTACCATAACCTAAACTATATTTTCCATATGATATTATTATGATATTGTAATTAATAAATTGTTAGTGAATTGTATAATGTATAAATATGTATTTACACTTTCTATTATATTCGTAGTAGTATGGTGTTGACTGGAGACTCCGTAAATTCGTCAGGGCACACAATTGTCATAAGTTTGCTATTGTGTGATCCTTTTGACTATAAAAAATGCACAATAACTTTATTTTGAAGGCTTGCTACGACTCAAATGCCTGAAATATAAGACCATTTTAAAAACATCGCCCAGTCCAACATCAGTTTTGATAATTCTCGGCAAAATAAGTAGAAAGTTTAAAATAATTATAAAAATAATTAATGCTAAGCAAGCAATACCTCAATAGTTGATAAATGTATCAAAATGCACTTTCTAAGTAATGTTCACTCTAATCAATAGTTTTTATGTATAAATTAAAAAAAAAACGATAAAATGCCCTGGCAATATTCTTGTACCTACTATTCCAATTTAAAAAAAGAACTGTTTAAAAATTCAATTCGACGTTCGCTTTTTATGAAGATTAACGAAGACATACAGCTCTACACTGTGAAAAATATTTTATTTAAAAGTTAAACCTCTTTGTTTGTGTAAATTAAGTCTTATATGTAGTTGAGGGAGTGTGAAACCATCTTACCGTCCCAATGTACCTTAGTGCCAACTGTGTGTTTGTACTATAGACATTTCGTTAATTAGGAAAATGTTCAGCTCAATCTTCACAGTATTTTCTCTTTCCTATTTTATGGAATATATCCTATTCCCTTCTCGTTCTTTCAAAGAATGTACGAGTAAAATGCATGTTTGGCGTGTCAATCTTAAAAAATCAATAAATGTTAAAAAACAAACGCCCTATAATACGTCAAAATTATAACTACAGAATACAAATGTCTGCTATATGCAGGTCTTGTTATCACGTAGTTTCTATTTCGGCTATAAATTTACCTAATGAAATACTGTAATATTTTTGAAGATTGTCTTGGTGGTGGGTTCTCAGGGCGTGAAATAAAGTTCGACACACGAATGACTGTAAAATGTTGTATATTGGAATAAACTATATAAACAAAGTTGCACAATAATACAATATAGGTAAAACTCAAATATTCGCGGCACAAATACGGAGCGCGTGCGTCACGGCTCCGGCGCGGGACTCGTTCTCTCGCGTCCTAGCAAGTGTCGAGCGGTCAGTGGCGGGGAAGCGGGGGAAGGGAAATAGTGTGGTGGCGCGTTGCCACTAGAGTAGCGCGCGTGCGTTCGGTTTACCGCGTTACATCCTCCCCCTCTGACCTAGACATAGCGCCCTCGCGTCTTGGTCAGTCTAGAAATCGCTTGGGTCTTCCGCGCCTACGCTTTTCGATAACAGGCGGAACCAGTACATCGCCTACGAAAGAAGTCGATTGTGAGACGCGGTACTTACCCGAATTCTCGCCACTACCTAATCTGCGACGTGGTTTAGACTTCGGAGTCTGTCCACGGGGCGCATCGTCGCTACCCTGGGTTTTTAAAAGAAGCAGACCTCCGGCTCCTGCGGAATATTCCGGCGCAGGGTGACGTTTCTTTCCAGAGCTACGTTTCTCGCTAGCTCGGTTCTTTTCGCGGACTTCACGAGCGTCAAACGGCGCGTTTGACGTACGTCGTAAGTACGGAGTAAAATTCGTAACAGTGAGCCGTTCCTCCGGGCCCTCCCCCTGCATTGAAGCTACTCTGAGACTAGATGACAAACGATGAAGTTCCTGGCTCGCGTCTGACTTTACACGAAACCGGGTGTAATTGGTCGAGTGTTCTTCCTTCGCGGAGCGGTCGGCTACATCTAACAGAGAGGCGTTTGACCGTACTCTCTGGTTAGCCGTCGGCGCGGTACCCTCGCCATCCATCATAACAAGCTCAGTAGCTTCTGGCTTTTTCTGCCCTATGCTGTTGGTAGTATGTAAAGCGGGGCTGGCGGCAAACGGATGCCAACTCGACTCGTCGTTAAAACGCCAGCTGCACTGTGGTAAATCCAACAGGATATTCGCTTTCATGATAAAATTCCTACCTAACAGCGTCCTCGTTCGTGCATTCGGTAGCACCATGAACGTAGTGGATATCACGCGTTTTCCTAATGTGACGTCGACGTCACACTCAAGCGCGGTACGTTTCTGCTGAGACCCGTCAGCAAGACCTACGGTACGTACGACCGTCCTAAACATCACGCCAGCATTAACGAGCAAAGCGTGCAGCGTAGGGCTCGCGATAGAATGAGTGGCCCCCGTGTCCAGTATGGCCACACCCTTACGGTCAACGACCTCAATACCTATCAGCGGTTGCGAATCATCATCGCTCACGCCTACAATATATGTGCTGCAAAAATCTATCTTACTTGAGTCGGCTGTACTTTCACACTTATCGCATTTTGAGCGCACTACTCCCAGCTGGCCACATCCGTAGCAACGTAGCTGAGTGTTATTATTACTACTAGAAGTATCTTCCTTCTTATTACGACAATTATCAACTGAATGCCCGAAAAGTTTACAATAACTACATTTCGGTCGCGTACGTTTTCGTACGTTACTATTATTCCTTATGTTAGACGCGGAGGCCTGACCTAACACGGCCGCATCACGTAAACTTACTAAAGAACTCGCGCTACATGACGATTTCGAACTTACGGGTTCGGCGACGGTATTCGAAAGGGTAGGACTCGGGTTTGTGTCAGAACGGTCACGCGCGGCG